GCAGGAGCCTTGGTCCTTGACTTGCGGTTGTTAAACATCAACTGACTAGTGACAGCTGGCAGCAATTGCTCCAGCTGTTTTGATAACACACCCTTGCTAATTTCATCAGAGTTCAGATTAACATAGAAATGCATGACTGTTCCCCTCTGGTGAATGCAACATCACTGGAAGCACACTTATCTTTGTGGAAGGAATCAGCCGTAAAGAAATATGTTTGGTTCAAATGCATTTGAATACTGTCACTTAGTGGTTGGAGCACTCACCCCGCAAGCGAGAGGACCTGAGTTTGATTCCCGGAAGGGCAAAACGTTGGACAAGTTTCCTTATTTCACATGCCTCTGTTTACGCAGCAGTAAATAGGTACATGGTTGTTAGTTGATTGGAGGATCTTTTTCTAGGGATAATAAATTTGATCATTCAATCCACAACTGTTTGCGGGACGCTGCTGTGTGCAATTGGCTGCCATGTTTCACCCGCAAAATATCCAGTCAATTCACTTTACAGTGTATTCTGTGTGAAGCACTTTGAGATGTCTCAAAGATGTGATAAGGATATCAAATGCAAGGATTACTATTATTTTGTAAACCTATTACCAAAACGTTGCCTCAGGTCGCTCACATCTGCTTCTGGATAAGATATCCCTGTCTCTTTGTTTTTTTTAAAAAAACACTTCCTTAACTCCCAGACAAAGTGAGCAAGTTGTGTTTACACAAGACTGGAACTTGGCTCTGCTCTAACAATACAATACTGTACAAGAAACTCTTCAATGAGCCCAACTGCAAAGGCCAAGGAGAAGGAAATGGTACATTAAATGGCATTTTAATGTACCCTTATTTAATCCATTAAAATATAGCGTAAGGAAAATTACATAAACTTTATTGAGAAAAGTGACAGCAGGAGGGAGCTGAATTCATATACTGTGCTCATACTTTACTTAACCTAGATTTACTGCTCTGACTTTATTAATCATCATTTGGCTTCCTAAAAGCAAAGCTCAGTACTCAGGGTTTAAACAAGATATTAACAGAACATAAACAGAAGAGAGATTAATCATAATACTGGTAATAAAAGGGAGTCCTGGTTGTGATAGTCATCTGTAATGGAGAGGATATTCTGCAGATCAGAACCAGACATTTGCTGTAAGTACAGAATCCTACAGAAACTATAGAATGTTATTTAACCATGGAAGTTACTGAAGATGTTGGGATATTAGATTACAGCCGAGAAAAGGGTGAAAGTATAAGGCAAGGAATAATAGTGATAGTCCTTGCGTTTTTTTATAGCGCCTTATCATGTTTTCGAGAGGTCTCAAAGCGCTTAACAAAATATACTGTAAAGTTTATTGATTGTATGGATTCTATGGCTGAAATGTGGCAGCCAATTGCGTATAGCTGTGTCCCACAAACAGTCGTTGATTGATCTTGGGCTTTGACAGGTGAGTTATCAATTGAGATGGGTTTTCACTTCAATATAGCGGAAACATCACATCACAGTATGCTGTCATAAAAAAAGATATTGCAATGCCTATCCATTTTATAAGCATGGATAAAAAGTGTTCTTTTTTTAAAAAAATATTCATGTTGCGCCATAAATGCTACTATCCTGTTTGCATCAGTAAGGTGTAGCCCTGAATTTATCAACATGACCGACAAACTCTCTCAGCATTTGAATTGTGAACCACTGTGGTTATGTGCAGCACTTTAGTAGATTGTACTGTTATATAACAATTATATCACCGACCAGAGCTCTATGCAGATCAGTGTTCTGAGAATGCAGCAGTATTTAGCGGATGTGGGTGTGAAGGGAGCAGCTGTTTCTCTGCCCGTCGGATGAGGAGACTTCCACGTACAGTTTTCCTGTGCAAACAATGCCGTGGCTGACCATTTGCTGGAAAGCATTTGAGTGGGAGTCCAGAGATGTGAACCACGACTTTCATGTGTGCAAGTGGTTAATGTTTTGCGACGAATTATTTGTTTGTGAACTGTTCCGACATAAAATACTGTTTACTGGACGGTACAGTTTTACGGCGATGATTATTTTCCACGTTAGTTCTTCCTGCTTAGACTTCTGAACATTGTCAGGTTAACGGTGAACAACAGTAACAAGTCACTAACTGAAATGTTCCGATTTCTGTGAGGAAATAAGATAACAATAATAATCCTTGCGTTTGATATCGCGCTTTTCAAGTCTTCTCTACATCTCAAAGCGCTTCACAGAATATACTGTAAAGTGAATTTGTGGACGAAACGCGGCAGCCAATTGCGCACAGCACTAATCCACAAACAGTTGTGGATTGAGTGACCCATTTATCATTTATTTATTTTCTTGAGAGATTATTGTCAGACACGTGGAGTACGGAAACTCGCCCAAGGTTTCGCCCAGCCCGGGAATCAAACCCAGGTGTGTCGCTTGTGAGGCGAGCGCTCTAACCACTGAGCTGCAGGACTCCACACCTCGGGATACAACACATAGTTGGGGATACAACACATAGTTGGGGACGCAACACGTCAGGACGGTGGAAAGCGAACCGGATGGACCTCGATCCTCTTTCAAATTTGCCGCGCCAATTCTTATGTTCTTAAACAGAGAGTACAAACCCTTTAACCTCAAAACGTGCCGTCCCGGGACTCCGGCGGAGCTTGTGGTCGGAGTAAATCACCCTGTTTTCCTTTAATACTAACTTTAGATTTAACGAGCCTCTGTAATATTTCATCTGCAAACCCTATGTTGCACAAAGCTGTGAAAGTGGACGCTGCACAGAATGATGTAATGAATGGTGTCTCCACACCTAATTTGGCCTTATATGGCGAATAAACGGCTCCTAAACCGTGGGGACTCGAGGGAAGGCAGATGTGGGTGGACGCTGACACAATAAAATACACTTTTTTTAATAGAAATGCAATGCAAAAAAGATGCATTCCGAGCTCCACCTTAATGATGCAAACAGGACAGCAGTAGCACGTGTGGCTCAAGGCGGACGATTTTTTTAAAAAAAAGAACATTTTTTTTTACCTTTTTGTGTGTGTTTTTTTCACAAAAAACCGAGAAGCCGCGGAAAGGGAATTACAATTTCTTTCCTCCTGAGGGCTGTGATCGCTATTCGGTTGAGAGGTGGAGGAGAAAATGATGGGTCACTTTTTCAGTGCTCCACAGAACATTTTTTTATAGAATAACAACACATAAGAAGCAAAACGGTACGAATTGACGTTGTGGGATAAAACGCAGCGCTTCCACAACAACAACAAAAACTCGAATAATAATGAATATTTCCAACAAATAAGCCTTTTTTTTTGTCTCTCTGCCCACCCCCACACCCCCCACACCCCCCCCATCCCCCACCCCCCCCACCACCACCTGAGACATCAGGACCTATGATTTCGTTTAGTTGCTCAGGTGTTGAGGTCTTTCTCCCCAAATAGTCTTTATTATTTTTGGTCTCTATTCCCCTTTGAAGTCAGCACCGACACTGCTCACTGGAGCGGCTCTGTTCGCGTGAGATTCGTCACACAGTCACTCCACCACATCGTGTTTCAACGGTGGAATTTGCGTCTTTCTCTGTCTCTCTCTTTTTCTCTGTCTTTCTCTCTCTCTCTCTCCATCCACCGTGAGCTCAGCCCTCGTTGAACCCAACGCACGGTGGGGGGGGGGGGGGGGGCAGGACCGGGGGTGTAGGTGGTGACCGGAGCCTCGGCCTCTCCACAGCAGCACAGCCCCCACTCCGCAGCTCCGGCCGCCGACCCCCCCCCCGCCCCACGTGCGACCCCACAGCTGTCCATCACCCGCCCTCCAGCGGAAGTGCCCGCCCCCCGGGGGGCTCTCACCGCCCACCAATCACAGAGCCGTCCCCCCCGTCCCCCGGAGACCCCCCGGAGACCCGCCTCCCCGTCTCGAGTGACAGTACAACTGACCAATCGGGGGCGGCGGAGCCCTGACTGGGGGCTGACCGGGTGATTGACAGGAGCGGGGGGGGCACTGAGGGCAGAGCTGGTGGGGGGGGCACTGAGGGCAGGGCTGGTGGGGGGGGCACTGAGGGCAGGGCTGGTGGGGGGGGGCACTGAGGGCAGGGCTGGTGGGGGGGGCACTGAGGGCAGGGCTGGTGGGGGGGCACTGAGGGCAGGGCTGGTGGGGGGGCACTGAGGGCAGGGCTGGTGGGGGGGGGCACTGAGGGCAGGGCTGGTGGGGGGGGCACTGAGGGCAGGGCTGGTGGGGGGGGCACTGAGGGCAGGGCTGGTGGGGGGGCACTGAGGGCAGGGCTGGTGGGGCACTGAGGGCAGGGCTGGTGGGGGGGGGCACTGAGGGCAGGGCTGGTGGGGGGGGCACTGAGGGCAGGGCTGGTGGGGGGGGGGGCAGGGCTGGGGGGGGGGGGGGGGGGGCCGGGGGGGCAGGGCTGGGGGGGGCCGGGGGGGTGGGGGGGGGGCAGGGCTGGGGGGGGGGGCGGGGGGGGGGGCAGGGCTGGGGGGGGGGGGGGGGGCAGGGCTGGGGGGGGGCAGGGCTGGGGGGGGGGGCGGGCTGGGGCAGGGCTGGGGGGGGGCAGGGCTGGGGGGGGGGGGGGGGGGGGGGGCGGGCTGGGGGGGGGGGGGGGGGGGGGGGGGGGGGGGCAGGGCTGGGGGGGGGGGCTGGGGGGGGCCGGGGGGGGGGGCAGGGCTGGGGGGGGGCAGGGCTGGGGGGGGGGCAGGCTGGGGGGGGGGGCAGGGCTGGGGGGGGGCAGGGCTGGGGGGGGGGGGCAGGGCTGGGGGGGGGGCAGGGCTGGGGGGGGGCAGGGCTGGGGGGGGGCAGGGCTGGGGGGGGCAGGGCTGGGGGGGGGCAGGGCTGGGGGGGGGCAGGGCTGGGGGGGCAGGGCCGGGGGGGGGCAGGGCTGGGGGGGGGGGGGGCAGGCTGGGGGGGGGCAGGGCTGGGGGGGGGGCCGGGGTGGGGGGGCAGGGCTGGGGGGGGGGGGGGGGGGGCGGGGGGGGGGCGCCCAATGGGAAGGCGGAGGCGGTCTCGGGCTCAGCTGCTGCTCATTAGCTGTGGAGTCGCGGCTGCGCCCGAGACTCGCGGCGCTGCGGAGGTGAGTGAGTGAGTGATGGAGGGACCGCTATCCACTGCGTAATGTAATGAGCGCTGAGCGGCGCGGGGGGGGGGGAGGGGCGGCTGTACGGTGTAATGTATCGGTGTCGCGGTTACATTGTATCATGAACGCAGTCCCCCCGGAGCCGCGTTACAGTGTATCGGTGTATCGTGCGGTCGGGGACGCGGTTACAGTGTATCCCGTATCACAGACGCGGTTACATTGCGTAATGTGGTCGGTGAGCGGTCAGCGCTGCGGCCGACAGGCGGTGTGTGTGTGTGTGTGTGTGTGTGTCCGGTCCGGTGCGGCCGCTGGAAGGTTATCGGTGCGGTCGGTCGGATGGATGTCACGGTAGCGGCCGCGGTACCGGTTACGGTGGCGCCGGGGAGAGGGGCTTCTCCCATCAACCGCGGCCCTGAGAAGGACCCGCGGGACTCCCGTTTGCCCGCGGTGGCGCGGGTTTGCGCGAGGCCGGTGCGGGTGTGGGTGGCGGTGCGGTGCCGGTGCGGGTGGCGGTGCGGTACCGGTGTGGGTGGCGGTGCGGTACCGGTGCGGTGGCGGTGCGGTTTTGTGATTTCACCGCATTCGGTTAAACGCGGTTTTCTTTCGAGATTCGCCGCCGCCTTTGCGGCCGTTGTGAAGCGGCGATGGGGTCTATTTTAATGCAGGAGTGGTATGTGGTGTACACTGCGGGTTGTTGGGGGTTATTGCCGATGGGGGTTGTTACAGTTCGGGGCTATGTCCAGTGGTTCTAAACCGTAAACCGTTTTCCCACCGGGGGGGGTGGTGGTGGGGGGGGGATGGTGGTGGGGGGGGGGGATGGTGGTGGTGGTGGGGGGGATGGTGGTGGTGGGGGGGGGATGGTGGTGGTGGGGGGGGGGGGGGGGGATGGTGGGGGGGGGGTGGTGGTGAGGAGGGGGGGGGTGGTGGTGAGGAGGGGGGATGGTGGGGGGGGGATGGTGGGGGGGATGGGGATGGTGGGGGGGGGGATGGTGGGGGGGGGGTGGTGGGGGGGGGGGGATGGTGGGGGGGGATGGTGGGGGGGGGGATGGTGGTGGTGGGAGGGGGGGGGTGGTGGTGGGGGGGGGATGGTGGAGGAGGGGGGGGTGTGGTGGTGGGGGGGGGATGGTGGTGGTGGTGGGGGTGGTGGTGGTGGTGGTGGGGGGATGGTGGTGGGGGGGGGATGGTGGTGGAGGGGGGATGGTGGTGGAGTGGGGGGGTGGTGGGGGGGGGGGGATGGTCCCCGCACTGACTGCAGACTCGGTGCTGCAGGATTGCCTCACCAGCCCTGACCGCTTGTGCTGTGGGAGTCACTGCCCAGTTTAAATTCTGCCCAAATCTCGTCTGAATGCGACTCGGATCATCCCCGACCCTTATTCGGAAGCCATTCCAGGTCATCTTTAGAAACGTAGATTTTTTTTAAATAAAAAAATATAATAGATATATATATATATAAACACATTTCTGCTGTGGGTCTAAAGTGCCATTTTTTTTTAAATTAAAAAAAAATCATCCCACATTTCAGCTTTCCTTATTACCCTCCTCCCCGCCCCTCTCTCCTCCGCATCAGTTGCTGATCTTCTCACCACCAAATACAAACCATCCCAAGGCTTGAGGTGAATTTCACGCCAAAGTTTCGCTATCTATCTCATGATGAGCGACTTACTCGGGCATTTTTGTGTTGGTCGCCCTCTGTTTGCTGCTCATTATACTGAAAGTTTTTTTTTTACACACACACCCCCTTAAAGTAGTCTCCTGTGGATGAGATGTTGCAGTAAATATGGTGATGCAGTGTTGCCTGTTGTTGTTGTTGTTGCTGCTGCTGCTGTCTTGAAAAGCGGCTTCTGTAAATGTTGGGCTCTGGCGGGTACTTTCCTGTGTAATGTGGGTGGTTGGCAATGACGTGACGTACGCGATAGGGGACCAGTGGTGGGGGTGGCATTGTGGACCTGTGTTTTCCTTGCACAATGCAACCAGACTTTCCGAACGTTTCTGCTCTCCAGATTTCTATCAGCTAATTTACCAATGGCTCGTTTCAAGGGCCGCAAGTGTTTTCATCATTCCCGACCCGTTTGCATTTTTTGAGATCGATTTGCTTTTTCAAAAGAAAGTTAAACGACAGATAAAGAAATTTCACGTTCCCACTCGAGTGTTCTGGATCAAGACTTTATCCGTGATGCTACCCTGTGTGTTATATAACTGTTGTTGTAGAGATGGATAAAGAGTTATTGGAATTAAAAAAAAATTTGATTCAGGTTTCTCTGAAAGTGTGGTTCCTATTAAATCCAACATAATTTTGCATAAACTTAAGCAAAACTGTAAAAGTCTGACTGTAACCAAGCCTCATTAAATGTGATTTATTTTACAAAATTGTATTGTGTTAAATATGCTCCTTATTTGCCGTGGAAAATAGGAGGAGGTTGGGCAACACTAACTTTAATGTATCCTTCAATGACAGTGTTGTCTTGTTTGTTGACAGTATTTGCATTTTTGTTTTTATTGAAAATGCAGATACTTTTATTGAATTGAATAGTCCATATAATTTAGGCATTATAGGGTCTACATCAAAAGTGCCCTTATCAGGATTTCACTTTAGTAAGATAACACCAATAACATTGCATTTATTCAGTTCAAGCAGATGAGCATATAAACCATGGCAGTTACTTAGAAACTTATTTTGAGCAGCTAGACATCATTGGTGAAACAGTATTGTCATATTTCATGAATAGGTTAGTGATCTAATGTGAGTTTTGCTGTGCCACTCTGGTATTAATAACTGATTAGCGGTTCAGTAGTACAGAAGAATGAGCGCAAGGTCACATTGTTCACAGTTTAAAAAATACCCAGACTCATTCGTACAATGTGCTCTAGTTTAATGTCATAAATTTGAATGAGGGTGGAGTGAGCCGTATATAGACAGAAGAGAGGCATAACCTAGTTTTCAGCTCTGCAATCAGCACTCCTCAATTAATGGTCAGCTTTGTTCAGCCAGAATATAAAATAGGCACAGGATGCTATTTTTAGCTCGCAAGGTAACTTGGTTATATTCCAGCGCTTGATGGGGTTACAGAAGGATAAATATTTGTATGTATGAAATCAATCTACTGAGCTAATGTAGTGAAACAGTAATAGCGCAAATTGGGTTTAATTGAATGATATCACTATCTACCTCCTGCCAGGAATGAGGTCATTATTTGTTTTATTTGGCTGGGTTTGTGTCTGCGGAAGCTTTGGTTTAAAACCACTTTTGAAGTGGTTTTACTAATTTTTTTTAAGAAGGCGGGGAAAAAGCTAGAACTTTGAAGGACATGATGGACGTTATCATTCATAGTGCTCTGTAGCCATTGGTCCCAGCACAGTACACGTTGCAGTTTGGGACAACCATGTGTTAATAATAATTATATTGTATTTGATATGAGTGTGACTGATTAGTTTTTAACAAGGAACTTTGGTTTTCAAAGAAGTTTGCCTCTCTCCCTCCCTTGCTTCCTTGAAGGCGCATCTCAAACCCTCTTCTTTGACCGAGCCTTCGGTCACCATCCGCCCTCCCTGATCCTGACCCCTAGCTGGGTCCAAATCCCTGACTGTCCAGCGCCTTGGGACGTCCTCCCGACGTGAAAGGCGCTTTATAATGTAATTTTGTGTTCAGTCACTAATGTCATCATTTATTATTTTTCTCTTGTTCGTTTCAGGTAGTGCTTGGTTACTCTTGAGTTAAGATGGCACAGCGGAGTGTCCAGGAGGATCCAGAGAGATATCTCTTTGTGGATAGGGCTCTGGTTTACAACCCTGCCACACAGGCTGACTGGACAGCCAAGAAGTTGGTATGGATTCCATCGGAACGTCATGGCTTTGAGGCCGCCAGTATCCGTGGTGAACAAGGAGATGAGGTTGTGGTGGAGTTGATGGAGAATGGCAAGAAAGCTATGGTCAACAAGGATGACATTCAGAAGATGAATCCACCGAAGTTCTCAAAGGTGGAAGACATGGCTGAGTTGACCTGCTTGAACGAAGCTTCTGTCCTGTATAATCTAAAGGATAGATACTACTCTGGGTTGATTTATGTAAGTTTAAATGCATTATATCTTGAATTAAATTGAGAACTAACTTTAATCTTATTTTAATTCCCTCATTGCCAATACAGCTCCTCTCTTAATTACTGAGTTCCATGGACTGATTTGGAGTTGATTATGGCCCAAGCTGACCACTCTCGGCTGAAGGAAGTTGCCTGGTTAAGAACTGTTTTAGAATTGTAAAGGTAACATTTTCTCTTCAGCAAAGTAGTGGGTAAAATAGTGCGTTTGCCTTCAAAATATGCAGCAACTGCACTTTACAGTAAATCTTGTGAAGTGCTTTGAGGCGTCCTCCAGATGTGTAAAGCGCTGGATCAAAGGTAAGAATTATTAGACTCGAACCTTGCATCTGATATAGTGCCTTATCACATCTCAAAGTGCTTCACAGAAAGTACTGTAAAGTGAATTGACTGTATATTTTGTGGTTTCTATAATGTTCGCTTGAGCAAGCTAACGTACATGGTCAGCAATGTACAATATAATTTTTGGAACAGTTTCCATCTATTCTCATTATAACTATCCAGTTTATCAAAACATACTGTTTGAAATAGCCACTGGATTACGTGAGTAGGTCTCTGGCTTGTCTGCTTTTGGTTATGGGTTTGTGGTGTGTGGAATGAATCAAGCTCCTTCCCATGACCTCATTAATAGCCTATTTTTGAGAATAGTTACTTTAGGATTTCAGAGGGTCTGTTGGGCATGATTCTCTGGGATGAGTGGATGGTGTATAATGTACATCGGACATCAGGTCAGGCAGCATCTATGGAGAGAGGAAAGTGACTTAAGGTTTCAGATTACTGACCTTTCATCAGAACTGGGGGATGTTGGAAGGGAGCAAAGAAAAAANTGGCAAAGAAAACAATTAGGTGGAGAAGAGTAGATGATGAGATGAGTGGTGTTGATGATGCAGGGCAAAAGAAGGCAATAAACGAAATGTGGCTGTGAAAGCGAGTTTTAGCAAACACAAGAAGGGAAACCGATAGTAAAGAAGGTGACCAGGGTAAAAGGGAAAAACAAAAGTCATGTCAAAGTGAAGAGCAAAACGTCTTCAAGGTAGGCATTCCTGAAAGAAGTGGCAGTGAATTAAATAAACAAAAGGCAAAATACTGCAGATGCTGGAAATCGTACGGAAAATGTCCTGCTTTATTTTCCGAATTATTCTGCCACTCTATAAAACTCCTGACCCATAAACTATAAACTGTTTCCCAGTGCGTCAAACAGGTCAGATGTTTTGAGTTTTTCCTTTTAAAACAAGATCTGTTTTTTCACACGTGCATTTATCTTTTCTGGAGCCTGGAAGGCATTGCTATGTGGTTGCATATTTCCTTCAAGCATGTGGTGGTCTCTTTTGATGGCTAACCTTGTTGGTCTGTCCATCACAAAGCCTCAGGGGGCACTGCTTCGTAGACAGAAACAAAATAAACTTCATGGATTGAGAAATGAAAGTACATTGAAACTTCGCTGAGAAAGGCAGTCAATTGACTGACCTATTTAGCCCCTATGAGTGATTGTGGGATTTTGTTCACGGTTTCACCATATTGTTGTTTCAAGTGGAAGTGGGTGGGGGGGACGGGAAAAAGGATGTGCAAGTTTAAATTTTTTGACACCATTGATCCACTTAATTTCTGCATGAGCCTAATGAAGATAATTGGACCTATGATTGTGATTGCCCAGATATGCGCGGTTCTATTATAATAATAATAATAATAATCCTTGCATTTGATATAGCGCTTTTCACGTCGGGAGGACGTCCCAAAGCGCTTCACAGAACACACTGTTCTAATGCAGGATTGGGAAACTGCAGCCATCAGAATGTGTGATTACTTACCTGACTGTTTTTAATATCCTTTTTAACCTGAAGGACAATTTGAAACAACTGTAAGCAGGTCACTCGCTGAATTGGGGAGGCCACGGTTCTCTTCACAGAAATAAAGGTCTAAGCTAGCTCCTCCAGCCCTGCAGATGAAGATAACATTATATTAGCATTGCCTCATTTGCTGAGTAAACATGTTGTTCCCTTTTGAGACACAATTGTCAGTGTGCCAGTTATGTTCTTGCTTGTTCTCTCTTACTATGTTGTCCCTCTCTCCCCCCCACCCGAATCTGAAACTGCTGAAAATACCACAATAACCACACCTTTCCTACCACACACCACAGACTGGCTGGTTTGTGGTCCACAGGGATTGCAAAACTGCAATAAAATGTTTTTGTAAGTTTGGAAGCCTGTATCTCTTGCATGTCTCTCGTTCCCTAACATTATCTGATTATATCCTCTGTCCCATCGTCTAGAAACCGTGAAATATCCTGTGAGAGTCTGAATTGATGTCTAATTTTTGGTTATGTCCAATTTCTCTTGTAAATGTGGGATCCTTAGTTCTTAGGTAGATAGTTGCAGCATAATGAAGGGCGATACTATGAGGCAAATTAAAATGTTGTGATATTTTCTGCACTTGTTGGTAGTTATTGAAAAGATTACAGTTATTGCTGTAGTGTCTTTGAAACATTGTGTAATTCAGGCAACTAGGATTGGAGACAATTGATCCACAACAATTTGTGTCACATTTTATAATCTTGCATTTTTATAGTGCCCTTTAACAGCAATATCTGAGTAATTAGCTTAACATGTAATTGTTATGAAATGCAGTGACTATTTGTCTGTGAATTTGCAACCAATTTGCACACAGCGATATCCCAAAGCCAGTGCTGAAATTAATGAGCAATTTATCTGGAAGATTGTTGGCCAGGACACTGGGAGAAATTCCCTTCTCTCTTTCGAAGTGTTATTGGATTTTTTCATGTCCACCTGAACAGATAGGTGGGGCCTCAACTTAATGTCTCATCTCAGAAGGAAGGCAAGTCCCAACAATCCAACGCTTTCCTACTATAAGTGCCACCCTGGACTGTAAGCTCAAGTCTCAACATGGGGTTTGACTACACAGCCTTGTAACCCAGAAGCAAAAGTGTTAATAACTAAACCAGGTTGATGCCTAAGTTGCCACAGTAGCATTAAACAATAGCTTCAATACATTGAGATGCTGTGGTAATGGAAGCATTCTGTGGTAATGTTTAACATCTGTTTTATATGTCTCTAGTTGTTAAAAATATGATTGAAAAACTCTTGGGCAGAGCTAACTCTGAATCTTAGAAACTGGCTCCTGATCGATGGTAAACTACATCTGAAATAATAAACTTTTGGTCTAGATTAGTGTCTTCATTTTTTACTGGGAGAATGTCTGACGGCAAACTCGATCCCTGACTCCCTGAGTGCATAATGACCTATACCATCGTGCAGTTTATTAAGTTATTAGGGTTGTAATCATAGGGTCAAAACCATGGGGGGGTGGGGGGCACGGTGTAGGTTAATCCATTGATGCAGGCTCTGGCTTGCTCCACCATTGATGGTCGGGCCTTCAGCCTTTCTGCCCCCATCCTATGGAACTCCCTCCCACATTCCCCTCGCATCCCTCCCTCCCTTTCCTCCTTCAAGGTGCGTCTCAAAACCCTCCTCTTTGACCGAGCCTTCGGCCCTCCTCCTGCCCTCCAACGTCCCTGATCCCGAACCCCAGTCAAAATCCCTGACTGTCTAGCGCCTTGAGGTGTCCTCCTGACATAAAAAGGACTATACAAATATAATTTTTATTGTATGATTCACGAGATTATAATCAATATCTGTGATGATATCTGTTTACTGATGTCGTGAGGTTTGGTGAACTTGGATTCTTTGGAACACAAAGACGTTGAAGGGTGATCTGATTGAGGAACTAAAAATGCTGGAGGGAATTGGCAAACTCGATAATGGTTGTATGTTTCTACTGGTAGAGATCGAAATAAGAGGACATGAACTTGACATTAGAGAAATGAGATCGGAAAACATTTCCTCACAAAAAGGGTTGGAAGAATATGAAAGGTGTGTTGGGAGAGAGAGAGTGAACAAGAAGGGTAGAAAGAGAGAGAAAGTGCAATGCTCTCAGAATGCAAGATCACGCCCTATAACATAACATATTGCTTCAGGTGTTATACCGAATCCCTGTAGCAGCTACAACATTTTTCAGTCAATGTTGAACTGCTCATCACCTGATGACAGCTCATTATAATCTGATTTTACTGATACCCGGTGGAGCTGGTGCTTGGGTGAGGAAATGACAAGATTCTTTCTGTAAAGAAACTAAACATTGGGGTCTAATGTATGGTGGTGCTTTCCAACAAGATCCCTCAACTTGGAAATGGAAGCCACTTGCAGTAATTGTTACTGGATATTTCTTTATTCTGGAAGCACATCTTGTTGGAGCCAACTTCCTGTGAGTCGAGGTTTAATTGTTAATCAATCACTGTGTGTTACACCCATAGCTGTGCTCTACTTCCAGTGAAAGATGGAATAACTCAAAGGCTTCTTTGTGATTTTGGTCAAATTTTCCCACTCCTCTCCTGAAAGCAAAGCAAACCAGTGTTTGTGGAGTCATGACTTGAGTGACTGTTCCTTCCTGTGAATGTGAACAGTTAACTGTGGCGTTGTGTTCGTCTATGGGGGCACAAACTGCAGCTGAACCCAGCCCTATCTCGCCGACCAAAGCAATTGCTCTTGTAATGTTCATGGTACTGAAAGACTGAGTTGTTTTCATATCAGATGCCACAAAATATTTACATTGGATTGAATATTGGTCAATGTGGCAGCCACAAAGCAATGAGTTTTGAGCACAAATATGTAACAAACAATAGCAGTGATTAGATCCATATGTACAGGCTTCAGTTGGTTTCAGTGGGGAGGAGTTCCAGCTTCGGAGGTTGCTAGTTTTCTTAACAAATGTCTCCAGTCCTACCATTTTCTGTCTTTTTGTTTGAGCCCTACTGGCAATAACGGCAGTCCTGTCCTGTGAGGTAGGTGAGGCATGGTGCTGCCTTTGTGTCTAAGTGATCCTCCTACCTCTGAAGTAGCTATCATGTTCTGGCCCACGGCCTGATCTTGCATTCTGTGGGTAATGCACATGCGGGTTGCATTTCCCACCCCCACGTGCACATGCACGCAGACACGCGGGCAACTACAGCAATTTGGATATGTTGACCACATGCTCATGGTTTGTATGTTGCCATCAATGCTGTTCTTTCTCTTGTGCAGTGTAATTAGAATGAATGCACAGCATTGGGGTCATGGAGGACTCCTTGTGTTTGATGTGGCTGTTACACACTGCATATCAAATGTGGTGCAGTAACACTGACTGAACTGTAGCAATAAGAGTTGTGTTTTGTTAATACATGGAGGTTTTTTTTAACCAAAAAATGATCCTATTTAAAAGACTTCTACCATTCGCTATGTTGAGGATCTTTCTATCATTCCTAAAAACTTTCCTCTGTCCAAGAATTCTGGTAGTCATTAACTTCTATATATCCATATTAAATATGACTACAGTGGTTGAACTGTAACAGAAAAGTAACACTGAATACAGACAAACGTCCAGACTTGCAGAATCTAGGAAGCAATGCTAAATGACCCCTTTCCCTGTTACAGTAATTAATAGGCAGGATCTATTTGAGGAGCAGTTATCTTTGGTAACCGTGCAGGAGAACATTGCACAAATGTGGAGTCCTGTAGCATTGTGGTTAATGGCTCAGCTCACAAGCGAGAGGACCTGAATTCAATTCCCGGGCTGGGTGAAATGTTAGGCAAGTTTCTTTACAATGCCTCTGTTTACCTTGCAGTAAGTAGGATCCCGATTGTGAGTCGATGGCCGGATTATCTTCCAGGGAGAATAATCCCTCCAAAATAAAAAAAAGATGGTCACTCAATCCACAGCTGTTTGTGTGCAAATGGCTGCCACGTTTTACCCACAAAATACCCAGTCAATCCACTTTAAAATATATTCTGTGAAGCGCTTTGAGACATCTCAGCAATGTGATATCAAATACAACTAATTATTATTGCCTGCTTGCCTTTACTGTGAATAGCTGATTGCCTAGAAACGGCATACAATTCCGCAAACGATTCTCACAATGTTTATTTCTCTTACCTAGACCTATTCTGGACTGTTCTGTGTGGTCATAAACCCATACAAGAATCTCCCCATCTACGCTGAACAAATTATTGAAATGTACCGAGGGAAAAAGCGACACGAGATGCCTCCGCATATTTACGCCATCTCGGAAAGTGCCTACAGGAGCATGCTGCAAGGTAAGGGCAGAAATACTTATCCAGAGGGAGGTAAGAGCGTGACAGAACGTGATTGAGAGAGGCTCTCTTTATCCTGTCAGAGCTAACACTTGCTCCTCTTTTGAAGCTGAAATTTGAGAGAGACCCTGAGAGAATTTTCTGCAGATGCAGGAGTCGAATGCATTTTGCATTAGTTTGCAAATTCGATTTCTTTTACATACATTGTGTACAATTCTTTTATCAAATAACATTTTAAATTCCATATCCCTTTCCTGGTCAACTCGCTGGAAAAGCGTGTGCTAAAGATGTGTGCGCATGCATGGATGCACATGTACACATGTGAGCAAATGGTTATACCCCTTCAGATTATTCACTCTTCCAGCTCACAGTCTTTCATGAGTAATGTGACCAGTACCCTCCGCTTTAATTTGGTTTGTTCTTTGTTGCGTCAGTGACTAAAGTTGATACTTAAACTCTTGAGCTAGATGAAGTAATGGAAGGATCTTATTCCCCTGCCTCTTTGTTTCCAGACATGAGAAACGAGGATGACAGAATCTCTGTGGATTAAATAGTTAAGGAAACAGCAGGTTCAAAGAACCTGGACAGAGATTTGTGTGGAATGGAGCTCTGCACTTGGCTTTCACATAGTGATTCATCCTGCTGCGTTCAGGCCAATCTCCCCAAACTAGCACTTGCCTCGTTAGCTCAGTGGTTATGTAGATCTTTCACCAGATGAATGGTAGGTAATAACAATCCTTCACTTAAAAAAAAACTGTTTAGTAACTTGAACTGAACCTTTGGAAACTCAGGGCTTATAAATCTAATCTGTGGCATCGTCTTATTGACATCTGTGAGCTCCGCCATTGATTTAGAAAAATGTTTCCACCTGCACAAGGGGAATGTCCTGGTGTGGGAGAGAGGGGGGGCTTTGTTAATGGTTTCACTTTTGTTTGGTAATTTTTCCTGTAACGTGCCAATGTTTTTCGATGCATTTCCAGTTTGATAGTTTGAGCTACACAGTTAAGGGACTGCCATTTGATTCTAAACTTTTATGGGTGTTAGCAATGTGATGGTGTTGACGTATGATCCCTTTAACGTTTGCGTAATGATTCACAACAACAAAATGACATTTATGTAGCACCTTTCATGTCAGAAGGACATCCCAAGGCGCTGAATATTAACAGGTGGAGAAATGTCACCCTATTGCAAGGTGGGACAGAAAAGCAATAAAGTAGGACAATTGCTTCTTCAGCCATGATCAAATTTCAAATGTTTGAACAGACAGAATCCCTTTTGTTTGAGTCTGTTGGCTGCATTTCAAATTGTACACACTGTCAAACTTTGCTTCATCGCACAGGAGAGGCACATTTTAAAATGATGTAATTTACTTTTTAAAATAGAAATCTTAATTTTACTGTATGTGTGTGTAAAATATACAATTTTGAATAACAGTCAATCCACGGTTGTTTGTGCGCAATAGACTGCACAATTGGCTACCTCGGCTTGCCCACAAAAATATAGTCAATCCACTTTATAGTATACCCGTGAATTGCATTGCAACATCTCGACGACTTGATAAGGTGCTACATCAAATATAAGGATTATTATTATTTTAATTAATATACTCAGCTTTTTTTAAGAAAAGATTAATGGAGTCACTACATTTGTTACTGGTGAATTCCAAATGTTAAAATGTTGAATTTAAACCTGGATTTTATTTGGATCTGATAAGTTGGCCTTTAGCCTCAAATTAACACAGTTCATGTACATTTCTGAGTTTGTTCCAAATGGGTCACCGATGTTGTGCTTCTACGTTTTTAAGATTCAATACCCATCAGGTTAGTTTGTTGGTTTTATGCAGCCTTCCTCTTCTCCCATCCTGTACCTTTGTGATTAGAGTCTGGCAAGCGAGAGGACCTGGATTCTATTCCCGTCAGGGCGAAACGTTTCCTTATTCTACACGCCTCTGTTTATCTAGCTGTAATAATAATCTAGGAGGTAATAATCCCTTTAAAAATTAATATTAATTTGGTCACTTAATCCATGACTGTATGTGGGACACTGCTCACACTCACAAAATATACAGTCAATTTACTTTACATAATATTCTGTGAAGCGCTTTGAGAAGTCTGAAAGACGTGATAAGGCGCTATATCTAATACAACGATTATTATTATTACTACCTCGGTGTTAAACATTAACTGTTGCAAAACAGCACAAGAACATTGTCCAATGTTAGTGTTAAAACTTCAGCACCTGCTCAGGGCTTTTGTTTTTTAAAAAAAGTTAAATGTAAATTCTATTCTATGTCTTAACGATCTGGTTAATTTGCTTATTGTTCATAGCTGGAGCATTGCCAGTGCTAATTATCTGTATTTTGCAATGAAATGGTGACCGTCATTTTAACCATTTCAGAAAAATTTGACCCAGGTCACTAAAAGTGACCAACTAGATGTCAGGATGTGATTATGGGATGATAAATATGCATTTATACTGATTTTTGAGATTATAGCATTGATAGCCCAGTCGGAATGTGCTTCTGCACTGCAAGAAAAACAAGATCTAAACTTTTTAAACATTGCCAAGTTGCAGGCTATGGTATCAAAAGTAGCATTTTTATAGCCGCTTTATCACTTTGAAATGTCAAGTACTTCTGTTTTTGTAGGCAAACGTAGCAGCAATTTACTCCAGCAACAACCCGTGAACAGCCATGAGGTGAATAACCAATTAATCTGAAAGTTTGTTGGCCAGGCAATCTCTTCTTGGTTCCAAAATTGTCATAGAATCTGTAATATCCACCAGATCAGTCAGATAGACCTTGGCTTAACAGCCCTATGTGAAAAACAGTACCTTCAATAAATGTAGCTCTCTCCTCGCACTGCACTGGAGTGTCACCCTGTACTGTCAGCTCAAACCCCAACATGTATCTCAATGAAATCTCTATATAACTTGCTTATATAATGCCTGAACAATAATACCTTGCGTTTATCTAGCATTTTCATAACAAAGTTGTTATTAAGCATAGTACCCATTGTTTTATTCCTTTATCCCTGGATGGGGGTGGAAGGAGAGGTAAATGGGGTCTCCTTGGAGCTGAACTGACTTGAAGGTAACATGTAGGCAATAGAATGTCAGAATTGAGCTAACCTTCTGTGGCAATCTCAGTGACCCAGTTCCTGAGCCAGCTGGATTCGTTGTACTCCAGGACGCTGCTGATGACAGTCCATCAGCCTGGCTTGTTAGCAGGACTTGAAAGGGCAGACCAGATACTGGAGAGAGGGAGTCTTCCCATTCAACTCCTGTTAACCCTGCAAACCAAAGCCCTATCGGGTAGGGTGGTCCTACCTGGACAAGGAGTGGGAAAGCTTGCCAGACAGCAATATCAATGGAAAGCTCTCCGGTTTTAGCTGGTTAGATTCCAGCACTCACCCCAACGCACACTCTGGGGTCCCCAAGCCTTGGTTCTTTCCGACCTGAGCCTAGTACTCTGAAATTAGGTAAGTAGGATGTGTCCCTCCAGGGAGAGAGTGTGCATTCCATTCCAATAAATGCCTCTAGAATTTTCTAGAATTTCCATGCATAGGTGAGATGCTTCTCTGTTTGGTTTGGATACCCTTAAGCATGGTGATGGGTTTCGCATGTGTCAAACACTCGGCTGACCCCCAAAAATTATTCCTTGCATTTGATGGAGCACCTTTTTATATTGAGAGGGTGTCTCAAAGTGCTTCACAAATATACTGTAAAGTGGAGAAATCCTATGTTTTGTGGGTGAACACAGTAGCCACTTTGGACACAGCAATGATCCACAAACAGCCATGAAGTGAACAGCCAGTTTTATTTGGAATTGTTGACCAGGTCACAGGGAAAAATTCTCTTTTTATTGAATAATCCCATGGGATCTTTAACATCCACCTGAACGTGAAGACGGGACCTTGGTTTAACATTCTCATCTGAATGATGGGACCTCCGACAATGCAGTGATACTCCCAGCATTAGCCTAGTTGTTTGTGACTGCACCTGCAAACTAGATTTTAATAATTTATGGATTTGAACCCCTCTGCTTATCTACCCCTGTGAAACGCTTCCACATGTAGAATATATTCCCATCTGCTGGGCTTGCATCCAAATATGCTATGCTCACACTTTGCATTGTTAAAATCCATCCATCATAATTTTCCCCCCTTGTTATATCTGAATATGTCCCTTTCCAATTTTCTGCTGCCTTTCCTGATTTACAATGCAGCCCAATTCTGTGACCTCAGTAAACAGGAATGTTCCTATATCGGTCATTTATATGTTGGATAAAAAGCTGCCGCCAGCCCTCAGGAGTGCCGTTTGTTACTGTCTGCCAATTGGTGAAGGCCCATTTTACTGTAACTCTATCTCCTATCTGTAACTCTTTCCCCTTCCAGTGCAGACAAGTCAAATAATAATTTAACAGTTCTGCTATTATCCTTATCCTTTTCCTGTCACACCCATTTCTGGTTTTAATTCTAGACTGGGGCAACACAGAAATGGGCCATCCATTGATTGTGGATTGATCGACCTCCCGCGTACTGGGGTTTCTTGCATTGATTTTTTTTTGTATTTCTTTCCTCTCAAAATCAACTGGTGAAACGTAACAACATTTTCAATCATTGGTTAACAACTTCACTGTCTCCTTCTCCCACTTTGTCTGCTATTTTCTTGCTTCTACACATGGCTCCACACACCTAATAATAATCCCTCCAAAACCACAAACAATAATAAATTGGTCATTTTCAATCTACGACTGTTTGTCGGACATTGCTGTGCGCAATTGGCTGCTGCATTCGCCCACAAATATACAGTCAATTCACTTTACAGTGTTCTGTGAAGCGCTTTAGGACGTCCTCCCGACGTGAAAAGCGCTATATCAAAATGCGAGGATTATTATTATTATTATGGTGTTTGTGCCTCTGTTGCCTGAGCTCTTGACCAGTTTTTCCTCACTCCGACTGCCCCGCTTGTTCCTGTGCTGTCTTAACTGTCAAATATAAGCC